AGTTTTATCGATTATCGATTGTTATTGATTATCATACTCTATTTTTCGTGCTTGTATGCATATGTATATCTTATGTTTAAGTTGGGATTATTAAAAGTATTCAATATTGGTATTTCGTTATGCCTGTTATCGACTATCGATTACTATGGCTTATCGACCTTTAGCTATTTCATATGAATATATAATTTTTTAATATATATTTTAATATAAATTTTATTTAACTCACCTAGGCCTATCGCTGATATTCCATATTTGCATTTTCTAAATAATAATCGTAATAACTGTTATCGATTGTCGATTGCTATTGCTTTTTGTCGTGCTTATATAGCTTAATGCTTTAGTTGGAGCTATCGATAGTCACATGCTCAGATTCTGCACAAGTTGTAGGCATTCGATAGTCACGAACTATCACGACGAATAAATACAGCAGATTATATTTAATGGCTAACGTTAATAGATATGTATTAAGCTCTCGGGACTTATCATCTATGGCAACCGCATGAACTCATTAATCTGCTATATAAATTTATATGCATAACTGTATCTATATGTATATATATATTGATTGAATTGCTATAGCATTAATTTGATATTCAATTTGGCTATAATGTTACCTCGTTTATGCATGTGCATGGCTAAAGACTCGATATTTGTGTATGAATCTTAATGCAATATTGCGCATACGCCGCGTGTGTCGTTTAAATTCGATTTGCCAGCATTTCAATTAAATTAATCTCCAGCTAACGGCTTCTGCTGCTGCTGGTGCTGCTGCTCTGGCTTGATAGATGAGACGGTTCTCCAAAGTATGCAATGAGTGTTATTAAATGCATACATAATTGCATTTTAAACGCGCACAAACAAAAGCCAACCTGTCAATGCCGCCCGCCAGCGTCCTTTTGCAGCGCGCCAAAGCTGAAATCATCATTAAAGTAATTATAGCTGTCAACGCGACAATGCAAGGGGCAGGATGCACAATTTATCCAGATGGGAAATGACAGTTGGATGCAAGACAGGCCCATAAAGGTAATTCGCCGCGTCTCGCATCCCTGCAGCTGCCTATCGTCTAAGCCAGAGCCGCGCTACCTGGCTGAAAGCCAAAAGACAAAAGTTCTTATATATTTCTGATTGTCGCAGTTCTATCAAAATGCAGAATGTACAAAGCTTTCATATTTAGCTCAACTAGCAAACCAGCTTTAATGAGCTTTGCAGCGATTGTATTTCACTATCGAGTCTATTAAGTCTATAAAGTTTGAGTTTGCTTGTACTTTACTATCAAGTTGTTTGAGGCGAGCTTTCAGAGAAAGCTGCTGAGTAAGGATTATTGCTGCAGCTTCTTAGCTTATCTTACAAACCAGCTTTAATGAGCTTTATATCTAGTTTTAAGCTTTGGCTTGTCTTTCACTACTAAAACGAGCTTTCAGAGAAAGCTTTTGGGCAGGGATTTTGGCTGTGGCTTCTGAGTTTCAAGCATTCAGTGAACTATTTATCTATCTCTTGGCATAAAGTTCTTTATCTAATCAAAAAGCCTCAAAGTGTTTGTGTTTGCTATTCGAATGACTCAGAAGCCCCATTTGCAGTTTATCTTAGGCAAATTTGCTTAGTTTCCACTTGGGCGATAATATCTCAGTTCTCTACAGCAATTAAATACTTAACTACTCTTTACATGACAGCCGCAGAGCAGGCAGCCGAGCAGACCTATTTACATGCCGAGTCTCGGGTTCCGCTGCTCCTTCTTCGCTTCTCTTTCATTTGCATAGGCGGCTGTAAACGAAAGCAAAAGCCTCAAATCAAAGTCCAAGTCCAAAGTCAAAGTCAAACCACTTTTGGCACTTCACTCGTTCTTAGGCCTGGCTTATACAGATCGCTTCTCTCTCTCTCTCTCTCTCGCGCTCTCTCTCTCTCTGTCTCTCTCCCTCTTTCGCCGTGGCAACTCTTTGCTCGTTGGCGCTGCTTCGCCTGGCTGCACTTCATTACCGCTGCAGCCAACAGAGACTTTGGCCCCAAAAGCCTTAACTATAACCTACCTTGCACCGCGTCCCGCATTCCTGCGCCCTTGCTCTATCTCTCTGCCGGCTGGCATAAGAACTTGGCGCTCTGACTGATTAACGTGATTTGCTGATGAGTTTTGGTGCTGGCTCAAACTTTTCCATCTATCTCTCTCTCTCTCTCATACTCTGCCGCGCACTCTTCCTCCCTCGCCTGGGTTTGCCGCTTTGTTGTTGTTGTTGTTGTTGTTGTTGTTGTTGTTGTTGTGTTTACTCTTCAACGCTTCTTTGGCTTGTTGACTTGTTGTTTGCTGTTGGCTTTGTTGCTGTTGTTGCTGCTGCTGCTGCTTTTAATAACTCTGGCAAGCGTAGCATGACGCACTGCGTCCCAGCTTCGGTTGTTCTTGAGTTTTAATTGAAACTTTGCCGTTCCTCACGCGTTCAGCCGAGGCGACGGCGGCGGCGGCACAGACTATAGATAAAAGTGTGCGCGAGCGAGAGGGCAAGAGGGACATAAACTTAGAGACACAAACACCTATATGTGTGTGCGTGTGTGTGTGTGTGTGTGTGCATAGAGGGGTGACTTTCTAGGCTGCATCCAAATGTTAATGCTTTTGATGTTAATGAGACGACATACTTACCGGGCCGATGTCTGGCTTGAATAACGGGATGAAGCCCAAAACAAAAAAATAATAAAGAAAAGATAGGGGAAAAAAACAACTCGTAACGGTACTTGCTGTAGTTGCCCAAAAGCCGTGATTGATGTGCTTTGATTGATTGCCTCCAAGTGGACAAGAATTTGCACTCAATTTCAGCAACTTTGCAACTGCCACGCCCCCCTGGGCGTTGGCTCAACTGCAGTTGCATGTCAAAGTTGCTCTCAGCTGTCAGTTGGCTAAAATTAAAAGTAGAAACTGGAGCTCCACTGCAATTTGCAGTTACTCAAATTCAAAAAGCACAACTGAGCTTGCTCGACTTCAAGATACCCTAACAATGAGCCCAAGCTGAATAACCTTTAGTTTGCCTGCTACAAAACGTGTGCAGCAACCGTTTAGACCCCATTTAGCCATAATTGAATGCAGGCCAGCTAAATACAACTATTAAAAAGTCCAAATGAACAGCAAATAGTTGGAGCGCAAGTCAAATAGCTGAACTTATCAACGAAATCTAAGCGAAAATTTGCTGGCTTGCGCTTGACATTGAAGTTTGGGCCGTACTCAAGGTCGACAGCGACAACGACAGCAACAACAACAACGGCAGCAGGTGCGTTGCCCAACACATTGAAATGCATTAGCCAGCGCTGAGAGCAGCAACAACTATTAATTACACAATATCTACATATAGAGTCAAAGCTCAATCCCTCCGCTGCGGCTCATTCAAATTGTCTATGTCTATTCAAATGCTCAAAGTCAAGTGCAAAAAAGAAAAACAACAATAAAAACAAATCATGCGACATCGACTCATTAAAATGCTGAGTAAACGCGCCTCGCACCGAGCTACGCGCCCCGAGCGGATCATTAAACTAACACACACACATACACATCCACTCGAACATATACATATCTGGCTCTCGCTCGCACTCGCTGCCTGCGGCGCAATGCAGCGTTTAATAATGAATTTAGTTAAGATTGCAGCTTAACTAAATTAATTATCAGCCATCTCTACGCACTATATTGAAATCTATTTAATTTTGCATCAGCTCTGGTTGCCTGTAATTGTTTAACACACGCAGCTAACATGCCAGCGAACATGTTTGCTCGGTCGCAATGCTGTAAACACCTGTTACTTTACAGGTCAAACATGTTCCATGCTCGACAACAGCCATTGACAACATGGACATGCGCGCATGCGTGTTTCAATAATTTGTGCGTTGCACTGTGGAATGCGATGCTTAGAATTACCACATCCGTAATATGCACGGGTTTCGCGTTTGTTCATTGTCTCAATACTTATTCAGTAGATTATTGCTTAGAATAAACTTATTGTCTGCTTATCGGACTACAGAATCGCTGCAGTCGCAGATAAATTGCGGGAAACAATTGAATAGAACAATGCGCATTAAAATCACGCTTAATAATAAGCAGTGAAATGAAATGTATATAATTGCATTTTATCAGTTACTCGCAAAATCATTATTTTTATACATTTAATTAAAGTCAATAGAATTGCCTAACAAGAAGTAGCCACTTCTAAATACAGAAGTATTTTATCAGTAACTAAAAAAATCTTCAATTTTAATATTAATTAAAATCGATCGAGTTGTCAGATAGAGAATAGCCACGACCAAGCAGCACATACGTGGAATAGATTCGATTCCGTTTTGTTGCTGCTCGCGCCACTGTGCAGTGTCTGCCAGCAACATGTTGCGACAACAGCGCTGTTAATCCAGCCAGTTCGTTTAACAGCGCGTCGTCAACCTCACGAATGTCTGTTAGAGTGCGACGTTAGTCTTTTGCCGGCATTCAAAGCGAACGCGTGCGTTACATGTCCGTCGCCGTCGCTTTAGCTGTTTTGTAAACGGTGCACAGTTTGCGTAAATATTTTGTTGTTAGTTTGGCGCGCGTGATAGATTCTAGGCGCTAACGGTTAACATTATTGTTGTTGACTGAGTGAGTTGCTCAATTAAAAGCATTATTAAATTGTCTTAACATTGTTTGCGGTCCGCGTGGCCCGCAGGACAAAGACTAACAACACATTTCTGTTAGTTTTTTTGCGTGTATTTTTTTTTTTTTTTTTTGGCGATCGAAGCGCAGTGTTTGTATATGAAAATATAGTTTCAAGTGCATTTGTTGCTAATTTCGCTACACGTGAAGTGCTACATACACACACAGGCACATACGCGCATGTTTGCATGTGTGTGTATAGAGCGTGTAAAAGGAAATCCCAAAGAAGCAGCAAAAACAAATTTTTGATGTACAAGCAAATAAGAAGAAATACCAAGTTGAAAGAAATTTAAAACCGGATTCAATACAACAACAAGAACGACTACAACTACAACAACAACAACAGTAATAATAACAGCAGCAGGCAGAGCGACAGCAGCCGATACAACAAAAACAAATTTAGTTTTTTTCTCTCTGCTGCTACGCACAGCAGTGACGCCGACGCAGACGCTGACGTTGACATCTATCCTCAGCAGCATCTTAACGCAGCTGCTCCGTTGACTGTGAGGCTTTTGTTGTTGTCGCTGCTGCTCCCGCTGCTGTTAAAGCGGCAGAGCAAGCGCAACAGGAGCAGCCGCGCCGATCGCTGTGCAAGAATTAGAAGCAGCAGAGGCTGAAACACCATCAGACTCAAGCAGAAGGTAAGTGCACACATACATTAACATACTCGCACACACATGGAAGCATGTGCAAATGTTTGCTGTTGTTATGTTAGTTTATGTGGGCAGCACCCAAACGGTCCCAGGCCACAACCGAACTGAATATGTGAGACAGGCAGATAGATAGAGAAGGAGAGAACAGAATCACGAAAAGGAGACGCCGATGAGAGCGGGCAAATGTTAATTCTCTTGAATGAAAAATTGAGCGAAAACTTTTTAATTTAAAAAGAATTCTGCTTGTAATACATGTTCGATGCAAGTTTTTTATTGTAAAAAATGAGCAAATCAATGTGCCAAGCGATCAATTGATATAATATATAAATAAACAAAGAGATTTTTAATTTCTATCATATTCAAGAATAAATCAGTGGAGTAAGCGTCAAAGCTTATTTGTGGCGTTTAAAAGGGCATTGCACATTCGCCGATAGCCGATTGAAAGGAGTGCAGAAATCCAAGACCTAAAAAGTGCTCGGCCCTTCACCCGGCTTAAAACCCAGTGCTAACCGCAGCTCGAGGCGGTCGAGCATATTCATTCATAATTGTAAATCAATGCAAATATCGGTCAACATATTTATGTATGTGCATACATGCATATGCATGCCTCTATATACACATGGATATGTATGTATATTCATATTGTCAGGTGTCTGACATACTGCGATGGCGCCATTAAAATTGCTGGCATAATGAGCTAAAAAGCTAAAAAAGCCAACCCATCTAAGTACTCTACATATGTGTATATGTATGCATGTATGTATGAATATATATATATATAAATTTACATATGATTTGTTGGCATTGCACTCTTTACACACTTTTGTTTGTTTGCTTTTTTATGTCTCTGTGTTTTGGTTTCTTCATTGCTTTCGATTCTTGTACAAATATATATATGTATATATTTACATATGTATTATTATAGTTTTTAACCTTTTGTTTGCAGAGTTGAGTGCTAGAAAGGGTCGCGGGTATTTTGAATAATCGAAGTGCAACATTTAGCTGCAAATACGACGAGATTTACATGCACATTTCTCTGTAATAATTGACTTATTGCCATCAGTCATGATTCGATATCAATTAAATAAGAGAAACAACGGAACAACTGAAGTCTGCAGTGCTGAAAAAGTCTTGCTCTGATCACCAATCAATCAGTCACTCTAACAAAATGTATATATATATTTATATATATATATATATACATATATGGATATAGAATCTAGCAGAGCATAGCATGTAATATATGTATATAAGAGCTTGCTGCTGGCAGCGCAGTCTAAAAGAGCCGCTAATTGAATTAGCACTCAACGTATGGCAGGGAAAGGCAGTGGGGCCTGAAGGGTAGTCCACGATAAATTGGATTAATGCAGATATAAAGAGAGCAGCAGTAAAGCGAGGGAAGAAGAAGAAGCTATCAAAAAAAAAAAAAAAAAAAAAAAAAGAAAAAGAAACGTTGTAATAGCATTTTGTTAGCATTTCAATGAAACAAATTTCTAACATTTGCTCACAGAAATGCCAATAAATTCCAATATGCATACGAGTGGACTTTAGATACAGTGAAATCAGCTTTGAGCGTACGAGAGACAAGGAAGAGAGATAACAAGAGGTACTGAAAGAGTAAAAGTTTCAACTTTCAATTGTTTTTATAGTTTCGTCTTGACCAGGCATTAAAAAACATAAAAATTTACCTTGAATGAGATCAAAATTATATTACCATATATAAAAATAAGTATATATAAACTGTACTTTCTACTGTTAGCTGTTTGTTTTAAATATTATATATATGAAATTACATATTGTTAAGGATACAAACCGACTTTTTGCATAACAAAACAATTAGCCAGAGAAAACCTTCAGAGATATTCGCCTCAGATACTCCGCTCTACTCTATGCTAACTTTAAATACATTTAATTCTCATTCAGATATCTCGCTCCCTTCTGCTCTTGCTCTGCTTGCTGTAGTAGTTAGAACCAGGTCAAATGGACAATTCCATAATCAAATTACAAATAATAGACGTGTTTTGTTTGTTTTTATTAGTATCCATTTTCTTTGAATTTTCTATGTTATTTTTTCTACTGATTTCTATTTCCCGCTATCGGTTTTGCGATTAAAAGTATTGGCCACACTGTTTGGCATGAAGTTGTTGGACTATTTTGCTAACTGCTGTAAGCTTGGGATTATTTTATAAACTTCTAAATACCTATTTGATGCAAGTTAAATCGTTTGCCTAGGTTCGTAAATCTTTCACACTTAAATAATTGATTTCTAAGATTTCTTCTCTTTATAAATTTATTATTTTGTTTTTTATATATCTATCTATTGATAGTAGGTAATTTATTAATATCAATGGCTATAATTATATAGATTTTATTACATACAATATCAATTCAGCTATTAACTTATAAATTATATTTATTGAAATATTTAATTAGGATTTGATGATGACTTGAGATGATTTGATTAAGAAAGGAAAGTATACATAAATAAGAGAAGGTATAATACTCGATCGTGTTTTGCTATAGCCAGGATCTTATGCAATTCGCTCATCAATTGTTTCACTTTCAACACTTTCAAAGAAAGTGAAAATCGTGCATATGCTCAAAAAAATTAATGTATATATATAATATACATAAATATATATCTATTTATATATATATATAAATATATATATAGATATGTTTACGTCTACGTGTATGAAAGCCAAACCCAGGCGCATAATCAGCATCAAATTTAACTTTGACTCTAACATGGGCATCAGCGTTGTGGGCCACTCCCTCGTGTAAACTAATTAAATGAAGACCTGGCCAATATTTGTGATGTATTTTTGAAGATTGATTAATGTGTTTATGGTTAGCTGCGGCTCTTGAATATCTCCATTGGTTCGATAGAAGCACATGACTCTAATGAGTGGAGTCATTCGATACAATCGCCACATTTTCGTGTCTAAACGTGTTCGTGATATATTGTTCATTTTCTGCATATATACATGCATTGATTGGGCCAATGCAGTGTACTCTCATGCTTATGGATTATATTACATTATGTCTTTGATTTCGCCAATGACACTTCTGTTTGTTTTGTGAAACTGCAGTTTGGCAATCCGGAAACAATGAGCCACAAAAGTTACGTCGCACTATCGACTCTATATACATATATATATATATATATATATATATATATATATATATATATATATATATATATATATATATATATATATATATATGAAGCAACCTTAATTGAAGTTTCTTTTATGATCTATGGGGTGTTTGCCTTTGCCTTAGAATTATTATTTTTATTTCATTTGTTCGCGGTGTGGCATTTGGAATCAATTAGACAGTTGACGTATAAATTTTATTGCATTCGCTGATAACAGCTGCTCCAAGACCAATTTGCGTTTGTATAGACATTATATATATATATATATATATATATATATATTTTTTTTTTTTTAATGATCAAATGAGTTATAAATGCTTGTACATTATAGTATTCAAAATGGTTGTTTATAATTGTAGTTGAAATCGCTCAAAAATATATAAAAATGGATTTTTAGCGAAACTCGGCGGACGGATCACCCTGCTCTCTACTTCTTTTTTCTTTCTTATAATTTACTACTATTTTATTGAACATAAATTCTTATCGATTTTCAATTTCTCGTTGGATTTTATTGTTTGAGTGTAGCTAACTGCTTAGCACTTCCAAATTCGTTGAGATATCTTTAGATCTTTTAAAGATCAGCTATGCTCAACACTTCATGCCTAATCGTGTGAGCTCAACACGCGCAGTTCTAATTCCCAGACCCCCAATGCAACAAGACAGCAAAACTGAAAAAAATGAAAAAAAAAAACTTGGCAACCGCAAAACCCAAATTACGAGCAAAAGGCGAAAAACAAAAACAAAACCGAAATAAAACATTTTCTTTAGCTGATTTGTTGTAAAATGTGCCTATTATCATTTTTGGCTGTTTCATTTTCTTAGCGCTTTTTCAATTGTCTGCCATTGCATGGCTTTTTTCTCCTTCGGTGCGGTTCGGTTCGGTTTGGCTCTGTATTTTATATTTAGCTGGTTGCTTCTTGGGTCTCTGGGTTTTTGTCCGCTTCTTGCTTTCGAGCAGCTCACGAAACGCATTTGCCGCAAGAAATAACAAGCAGAATTAGAGAAGCAGCAAAAAAAAAAATGTGAAAAATGAATGCATAGCGTTTCGTGTGGCACGATCTGCGATGTGGAAGTGGAATGTGAAGCGACGAGGCGCGTTTTATATATAGAATTGCAACTCGATGTCGGGCAATTGTGGCATTCAAAGAGTCAAGCATCGAGACGATATCGATAGGCATTGTTGTTATACTTTTGCATTGCTTTCGATAACTTGCAAAATGCTGCACTTATCGATATGATTATCGATCAAGCAGATGAGCCATAGCATTGAGTATTGTATCTCTAATATCTTCGATTTAGTTTATAGCTAATATGTTATCGATTATTATCGAGCTCTACACAATTCTGATTAAAATACATTCCTGTATAAAACGGATATATAGAAAAGGTTTGGTGCGGCAAACGAATTGCCAAAACAAGTCTGCATATCAGCCCATGAATACCTATCGATAAATTATCGAACCTGCGACTGAGCAAACAAGTTTCGAGCTCGCCCTTTGAAAATGTTGTCCCTCTGGCAAACGTTGAAAACTTTTCGGTGCTGATTTTTTTCTCGCAGCTGTCGCCAACTCTTTTTGATGCGATTTTAAGTTTTTGCCGCCATCAACGTCGCACAGACGAACCCACCCTTTTAGCGAAACAGATGGCCAACATGTGGGGAACACGAAGGAGTCGCCACACGTGACTAGTGAGAGCTACACGGGCGTGTGTGCGTTTCGGTGTATATTGTCCCCTTGTGGCAGCAGTCCGATTCGCGAATTGCAAGTTGGAGTGCTGCAAATGCGACGCGCTATACCCTGTACGAGTTGTTAGAGAGGGCATTTCAATT